TTTTATTCTAATAACATATTTGGTTATTGGTTTTCATTATAATTTAATTCTGCCAGGTTAGAAATCATGTTTTATCTATTCCTGTGACACTGTCTGACATGTAACTGGTATTCAAAAAATGTGTTTTATATGAGAAAATAACTGAATATTAATTTACTTTATGATCATTGGCTAAATATATTGACAAACTATGTATATTAAAAGCCCCACAAAGCAAATGCACATAAAGATTTCACACTTGGTTAATAGCTCAGGATTCCATTAAATTGTTTTCTATTTATACAAAGATGCCATCACCATTTCATAGCTAGAATTTGGGTCTAGTAATATGTTTAGGGGTAAAAAGATTGACTGAAAAATTAAGCAAGAGGGGCAGTGGTTTGTGTGGGTAAGCCGACTGAAATGCACTTTAAATTACTAATTGTATATGTACTAGATATTTGTTATCATTTTCAGAACTATTTCTCACTTCAAGTGATTTTTCTGTTCAGTTCTTCCAAGCCTCAAGCACCACAATAGTATTGATTTGTTGTAGGCTCAGTCTGTGAACAACAGAGATGTTTCCCGAAATACATTCAAAAGTAAATATAATAAAAGCGCAGTGGCTCACGCCTGTAATCCCAACACTTTGGGATGCTGAGGTGGGCAGATCACCTGAAATCAGGAGTTCGAGACCAGCCTGACCAACACGGAGAAACCCCATCTCTACTAAAAATACAAAATTAGCTGGGCATGGTGGCGCATGCCTGTAATCCCAGTTACTTTGGAGGCTGAGGCAGGAAAATCGCTTGAACCTGGGAAGTGGCGGTTGCAGTGAGCTGAGATTGCGCCATTGCACCCCAGCCTGGGCAACAAGAACGAAACTCTCTCAATAATAATAATATTATTATTATTAATTAAATAATTAATTAAAAATAAATAAATAAACAAACACATAAATGGGTCAATGGAAATACTTATTTTAGAATCCCCCTAAATGCAAGAGAAAGTAGATCTTTATACTTTCCAAGATCAGGAAGTTTAACAATTAGGTGTGCCTGGATATGCTTGTGGACATATGTCTCAGCACAGACGTGAACTTGCAGAAAATGAAGCACAACAGATGAAATAACTGCTGTGAGAGATGGAGAAAAAGAGAGAGGTGACGAATGTACCAAAAAGGAAGGTGTCTAAAAATATGATTTGATCACTTGAGTGTGGTGATGCCTGAGTCTACCTAGCTCAATTCTAAGACTTTGCTGGTAAGTGATTTTATAAATTTTGGGGGGATTAAACTAGATCGAACTCTGTCTGACTTTGACAGTAAGGGTCTTGATCATACTTCCTTTTAATTATTTCTGTTAGCACGGTTCTTTGAGAACTTATGAAATAGTTTATATGACTTCACATCCTACAATAGAGTAGTTAATTGTGAAAATCCATCACTCAGGCTTCACTTCAGATATATTAGGTAGTACTTATTTACATGACCAACAAATTCTCATAAAATCTAGAACCAAAGGAATCTTAACATCTTTCTCTTGAACAAGTGTAATAATTTCATACATTATATCTTGGAGAGGCAGATTACTAACTTAAATTTCATGTATCCAGTGAGTTTGAGCTTCCAGCTTCACAGTGAAGACCACAACAATGATGAAGAGAACATATAAACTTCTTGCCTATGTTGATTTAAAATATGCCTTTGTTTTGTTCTGGTTTTGCTGACTTATTCATTTTTAATTGACAGGTAAAAACTATATATATTTATAATGTACAACATGATGTTTTGAAATATGTATACAATGTTATTTAGATACACACCAAGAATGGCTAAATCAAGCTAATTAACACATGCATTACTTTACATACTTCTTTTTGTGGTTATAACACTTAAAATCTACTTTCTTAGCAATTTTCATGAAAGAGTACACTGTTATTAACTATAGTCACCATGTTGTACAATAGATCTCTTGAACATAACCAACATTCATGTAATGTCTAATCTTAACACAATACTGAGCAAGCATACTCTTTCTTACATTCGACAGCTCATCGTATGTTTTGAGTACAGCTATATTTTCTTCTGTGTCTTCTTAATTCTAAGTTAAACAGTTCATACTCCTCAACTATTCCTTTTGAAATAAAATGCAGAGTATCTGCCATTTTCCTTACTTCTCCTGGGTGCTCTCTGTTTTCATTATATCATTTTTCTCCTAAAATGTATTGAATGTGCTTCTTCTAAATTGAAAGCAATTTGCAAAATGTTTTCTACCCAGATTAGCATATAATGAACACATTACTAATCATGACTAGGATACAACATAGTTATTGGTGCAAAGTCTGTGTTATATTTCAAGTATAATTGAACAATATCGAACTGCAGTTAACTAAAACCCACAGATCATTTACACACAAATTATACCAAACACGGAGCTTTACTAATTCACATGAAGATGTGGCAAACTAAGCAATTCACTTATTTTCTTCTATTTGCTTTTGTGCATATTTGGTTATTAAGAAGTATGGATCAATTAATAAACTATTTAGAACTATAATTTTGAAGGTCCTTAGCAGATTATTTTACAAAGACAATTTAATGTAAGTTGGCTGAAATAATTAGTTAGCATGAACATGAAATGATCAGACAGCTAGAGGACTGCCTTTTCATTCTTAACTGAATTGTGTAGTTGTGTTTAATTCACTAAATTAATTAAATAGGTCAATACTATTGTAGACTCCAAGCTTAATATGTATTCTGAGAGCTCAATTTTCATTACCACATATTTTATGTTATGTGGTTTATTATAAAATTTTAAAATGCTTAGTTTATCAATTGTGTAAAATAAGCAAAGGCATGAATTATTACAAGAAATGTCTCAACTTATGAAAAGGGCAACTAGTAAAATATTTAGAAACACATGAAGAGAAAATACATAATACATACAACTGTAGGATTACATATTTTCTCAAATTTATAACATGAAAATATTTCTATTATTAAATAGTCTTCAAAATTATAATTTTTAACTAATAGAGTAGGATTTCCTATGCCTTAGTAATCAATCAATTATAAGTTTCTGGTCTTTTTTTGAATTATTATTTCTAGCTGAACCCAAGGGAGTTGCAGAACAGGACTTGTAGCTGCTCCGAGAACCTTTTAGTATGATGATTCCAAAATGTCTGGATAACAGATCTTTTTGTCTAGTGCCTTATTCTAAGTTAGGAAAATATTTGGATTCCTTGTTAGCCAGTAGAACCTGAAAGTGATAAATACCGACTGACTTCATGCCTGTGTGCACTGTACTCCGTTGTACTCTGTAATATTAATGTATACCACATCCCTGGAGATGGATGAAGCATAGTTGGGCCAGCTGAGGTGTTCTCTGGTGCAACACCCAGATCTCTTTCTGTGCTGTGTTTTGTCAGCATAACTTATGCCAGCTTGGACCTGGATGGTAGCAGTGGAGCATCCATATAGCATCAAATGTTCTTAATATCTCAGACCTATTATCCACAAGAGTGTATCTCATAGTCATGCTTGTTTGAGACCAGGAAATTGACACTTTCTTTGTGGCATGTTTCTGATTATGCGGCCATGTATCCTGATGATGTTGATTTCCTTCAAAATCTTTTGGCATTTAAACTGTGTTTGATTTATTGCCCGAAGATCTTCATTTATTACTTTTATCAATATGATCTCATCATGGAAATTTTTCCATTTAGTAGTCATGTATTTGTACATTAAAAGGTGCAGTGTGCAAGAGAAGGGAGAAGGGAGATTTTTGTTTCTCATAAAAGTCTCAATTAATAACCCTATCATGCAGATATGACAAGTTATGAAATAATTTATTTTCTTGTCATTGTTTTAGATTTTACTTTCTATTTAGTTTTTGTGTTTGAAAAAGGATAGGAATTTCTGCTGTTATCTGCCAGATGATAGGAGAAATTTTTTAAAGTGTGTTGTAAAAGGATCCAAAATACCTCATACTTGATGAACCGAGACCCTTTTCATCCCAGAATATTCTGTGCTATTTGAAGTGCACTCTTATAAGTTCTAGTCTAGTAAATAAGTTACACCCTTTCTAAATAACTATATATCCTTTTCATAATTCTAAATAAATATTTCCCAAGAAAAACTAAATCCTTACATCAAGTGGGCAACCTTTGGAGTTAAGAGGTGTGGCTTTCTAAACATGTCATCCTGCTGAGACTCTGACTGATGTAGAATATGTTTTTGGATACCTAGGCTTACCTTTTATCATCATAAGCAAAGGATCAGATGAATAGAATACTTGGGAATACATTGTTATACTACTCAAACCTCTGACATTTCTGCTGTTTTTTGGCTTCTAATATGTGTTTAGGTCTGAAACCAGCCTCATCACTTTTTATCTTATTTCCTTCTTTTTTTTACATATTACCTCTTTTTTTAACATTGATTCTAACAGATTTATATTTTATTTATGCTCAAAATTCATATTTTCACTAGATAGTTTTTATATGTGATCACTTAATTCTATGTTGTATTGAAAATCCCCTTCTATTTTTATAATTTGTCATTTTTTCACAACAATAATTAAAAAATTAAAAACTGCCTTTTTATTATATATTTGATTATTGAGTTTGTTCAACTTTCTTCTGCAGGAAAACTAATATTTTGAACTTTGCATCTGTTCTCTTTCCTACATCTCTATCATCTTTTTATCACTTTCACTTCTTATTTTTCTCCATTTTTGACTTTTAATGACATTTCTATGTTTTAATTTTTCTAGGGTAAATAATAATTATGCTATTCATTTGTAGCTTTCTTTTTCTTCCTTATTTCATCTATCTTCATTTTTATTTCCATCTCTTTTTACCAACACTTTCCCCAATTCAATTGTCTTCCATCTCTTCTATTGTCTCCCTTATGTGAATCCAAGCCTTAATACTATCTGACTACACAAAGTAAATGCTTTCCAAATTTTTCTTGTAGCCAGTCCTTTCAAGAGATTATTCTCCTCCAACTTGAATCATTATTTTCTCCTTTTCTAATAAATAATCTTGTAAGAGTTCTCACTTTTATTTATTTTCAATATACTAATACTTCAACCAGAAATACCAGTTCTAGTCATATTTTTATCTATAAACAAGGAGGGATTCCTTGTTTCTCCTCTGTGTATATTTTGATGTCAGAAGGTACTCCTTAAGTGATTACCCTGGAAGACTTGTAGACATGTATAACTCATCACCCAATTTCAAAATAGCAGCAATCATTCAACATTGTGTGGCTGGATGATTAAGGAATGCGTCGTTTCCACTTTCTGGTCATCTTAAACACTCTGAATTTATCCTATTAAAGAGAGACAGAAGGAGATTGAATATGAATAATAAGCAAGAATACCCAGGGAAGAGCTTCCCACAATTTTCCCCACATGTATTCTCTGTACTACTCAATCCGCATGTCCTGTGTAAACTTCCAAGACCTGTCCATTTCTGCCCCAGATCTGTATAGTATTTCTGGGAACCACTATCTAAAAGTGATGGGGAAAAATGTTATGGTTGTGTAAAAAGGTGGAAGAACAAACAGTGGCTCATAGATGGTGGTTCTCAGCAGTTAACTGGCACATTTCTTGGTGGTGTAGACCAGGACTTTCTTCCCTTCACACATATGTTTGATCGGGTTTGCATAGTCCTTTAAGCTAATTTTTTGTTTTTGTTTTTGCTTGTGTTTACATTTTGAGTTACTTTAGACAAGCCATGTACTCACTTGCTATGTAAGCCCAACTTTCTCTATGAATGAGAATAAAGTCTGATTTGTATGTTTCTGTTGTCTGCGGCTTCTGGCGGGTATTCGAATTTACAATCTCAGGAAATACCTCAAATTTACAGGAGAGGCCCAGCAAACTTAATTATGGTGTATCTGGAGGGTCAGCATGGTGCATTTACTTGAGTACATTTTGGCCTTGTTAGTGAAAGTTTCTCCCAGATTTTAGTGATAGTGTAGTTGTTTAGTGTTAGTGTTCAATATAATGATAAAATTTTGTCTTCCGTTGAGCTATCCTTAGATATCTTAGGTGGAAAATAAAATAGTTAAATCATAAACTGGAAAACAATTCAATTTCTAGAAATTTCCTCCAAGGTAAATTTAATCAATTCTCCTCACTTTATAGATTTATTTTAAGAGTTTCAAATTGCTTTCCTGAGGTTGTATTGGTATTTATGGTAGGCCTCAATCTAGGGACAATATTCTTTCCACACTCTGCACACATCGAATATTTCATATTGAGCTTATTATTTTGCCAACTTTTAAGGTACTTTTTATATTTATTAGTTTCCCCCCAAGGGCATCCATGAAAGTCATTATGTGAAAATTCATGTAATTCTAATAAAATAAAAAGCAGTTTAGACAATTTTTAAAAATTTTATTTCTAAAGCACTGTTGCTAATCAGTTATTCTATTTTTTTAAAAGTAAAATTTCCTATATTAGTTTTCCACTAATATTTCAGGTTGCTCAATAGTAGGTGATTTCTTAAATTTTCCAGTTAAAATATCCAAATATTTTTTGTCAACCTATGTAGGTAAACTTGAGAGGTGCTAATATTTCTTATGATATTTAAGTTATTAATTTGGTTATATATTTGATATATAAAATTATAATTAACAAAATTTTTAAAAGAAAATTATGACTGATGAAAATACAAATAAACATGTGTCAAAGAAGTAGTAAAATGTTACAACCAGTTCAAAGATCATCCCAGAAGCTAGGATATTTATGGTCAAAGTTAGGATAAGATTGCCATATTAGATAAAAACTGGTTGATATCCAAAAATGTCATAATTCTCTGGTTTATTTGTTACACTGCATGGAAATTATTTTGCAATTCTACCATACAAATGTCTACAAGTTCACAAGTAACTTCACTATTTCTAGAGCCCTTAATTAATATTAAATAGTGAGTTTAAATACATTCCTTAGACAATTTTTTGTGGCTTTTCAATTCATATAACATTGAAGAATGTACTACTTTTCTTGTCTTATTTACAAATTTTGGATAATGTTCTCTGACGTATCGATTTCAAATTATAGTTTTCCACTAATATTTCATAAAGCCGTTTTTCTCATATGAACAATTTTATTTAAATCAATGTCTTTATGATGATTGGGACAGGTTGTGGGGTATAAAACACATTTCTTTAAATCATATCATCTTTATTTCTCATTTGTTTTCAATGCAAAGCATTTTGAATCTATTATTGTTGCTGTTGTTCTTTAGCAGAAAGATCCTCTTCTTATTTGTCATCTCCAAAACGTAACTATTTACTTTATTACCTTAAGTAATCTACAAAAAGTTTCTTTGCAGCAGCAACATTTGAATTTGTGAAGTCAGAGTCAGGAATAATTCAATTTATTTGCTCTTCACAATCTTTCTAGTGACTGTCTCGTGTTTTCTTTATAAGCATTCAAAATTAGCATCGATCAAACACATTTTATGCTACTGTGTATTTATGCTACTTTATTAACAACAATAATGTAATTGAGAGATTGTCTCCATAAAATAAAAATACAGAAATTAAAAGCCTTTCTCAAGATTTATGAGAGTTAATTTTGGGGCCAAATAATAATTCTCATTAATTTTGGCATTAACAAAATTTTTTCAACTAATCTTTTTGACAGAGCAATTTAGAGGTAATGCCTGTTACTCCCCCTGTTCCCCAGAAATAACAGGGACATTTTTGATGCTCTCAAGATTAATTGTTAAGTTCATTTATGAGCTTTACTAATTTGTGAATTATACTTTATCCTCAAAGCCAGTGTCATTTGTTTAACCCTTTGTTTACTGTTTAATCACTCCTTTTAGAATAGATAGTAGCAAACTCTCTATTTACAAGATCACAAAGTTTTTGTCTTACATCTTTGAGGGTTATGTCTTATGTTCAACATTGTAACACAGCAATAAAAATTTCAGTGATATATGTTCACATAACATACCTATTTATTATGATCAATGTTTTCAAAAGAGATCCTGGAATTAAACAGAAGATACCCTAGTGTCACTCAGATATCTGGTAAATTTGTCATAATTTTAAAGAAGATGTGGATGTTTTATATCATATGAAAATATCCATTGATTATTAATTATGGTGCTAATAAGTACTACATCTCCTAAATCTACACACACCCTAAGATAATGAAAATTTTACATAAATAGCATTTTGAATGACCATAATGTATAAGAAGATTTGGAGAGTATCTCTGGACTGTCTATTATACCATCCTTTCTTCTTTTTACTTCTTATCACTCATTACTCCCTTTCAGTTACTGGATTGTGAAATATGATAGATCAAAATTTTAAATACATACAGCAGTTGGTATATCCAATAAATAAGACAGCTAGATACTAATACTCAGTTTACACCAGGGGGTCAGAATCTGCAGTAAGGGGCTCCTAATATTCCTTTGTAATTTACTTACAATTAGACTTATGCTTTATTTCTGCTATTTGCTAAAGCTTACAAATTATAAACTTTTAATAAAGTCAGAAAAGGAACTGGACTTCTCTGTAGCTCATTAAATCCATTCCATTTTACATATAGGCAGGATTTAAGTACACTCTATTGTCAGTAGCATCCACACTAGTTTTAGGTGACAACTGAAAGCCTAACAACCCATGGTTTATCTCATACAAATTTCCTGTTCTGTCCCAGATTTATATATCTTAGCAAATGAGCATAGCTGTATCTCCAAGGCTGTTTTACAAAGCCCTACTATTACTCTGATTTTGTTGTTTCATCAGTTTCCAGACAACCAGTAATATGGCAAACACATTCCCATGCTAATATGGCCTCAAGGACATACCTGAATTTATAGTCAAGTAATCACACTATAAAACAAACTTTCTTTTCTCCTAAAACGTGTTGCCTTTCTTATACCAGGCTTAATAATCAAATTACTATTGCATTAATCATGGATAGTCTCTAAGATGTGAAAAATTAGATTTAAAAAAAAAATTTCTTACTCTCATCCATTAAAACCTAGACATCAAACAAATGTTCAGATTCTGTAGTGTAAACTGCACATTAATATGTCTTCATTTAAGACTTTGATAACTACCTATAATATAACTGATTCCCAAAGTGAGGGCACAAATCCTTTGAGAATTCAGAGGTCTAAATTATTTGTGTTCTCCTACACCATGCCTTCATCTCTGTCTTTGCAACTATGCCTCTCTCTCTGCCTAGAGTTTGAGAATGAAACAATGTCATTCTTTTCAAATTTGTTCTTGGTCATGAAAGGCTCAATATACGGTAAATTTCTGAGATTGAGTGATTTTTTTTTTTTAATTCTTCACATTTTCTTGCAGGAATATGTGCATTTCTAAGATATTGCAATACTCTGGCATGGACTAATAAGAAAAGGAAGCTATAAGGATAAATGTGCTTGGAGAAAGAAAAAGAATATGAGATAATCTAAAATTTGTATAGAAATGTGAATACAGCACTGTGATTAATTTAATATGCAAAAACAATTGAGGAAATTTTTTGAATATAAAAATAGGAAAAACAGAAAATCTTGGACATGGGCAAAAGAGATTTCTGGGTTTTCTTTCAGTGGCATGCCAGTTGTTGCCTAAGAGACTCTGGGGATCATCCGATGCTATTGGGGTGTGTACCTTTTAATGTCCTTGACTAAGCTATTAATAGAAGTTAACTTGCAGAAAACTGAGAGTTACGCACATTCTTCATGGTCAGAGCAATGAAATCGTTCAAATTCAATGCTGATGGAAATACATTTCAACTGGTAGAGCAGCAGTCCCCAATGTTTTTGGCACCAGTCACCAGTTTTGTAGAAGGCAATGTTTCCAGAGACAGGGGACAGGGGTGATGGTTTCAGGATAATTCAAGCATGTTACATTTATTGTGGACTTTATTTCTATTATTATTACACTGTAATATATAATGAAATAATGATACAACTCACCATAATGAGAATTAGTGTGAACCCTGAGCTTGTTTTCCTATAACCAGAAGGTCCCATCGGAGACAGAGACAAATCATGAGGCATTAGATTTTCATAAGCTGTGTGCAACCTAGCTCCCTCCCATGTGCAGTTCACAACAGGGTTTGTGCTCCTATGAGAATCTGATGCCACTGCTGATCTGACAGGAGGCAGAGCTCAGGTGGTAATATGAGTGATGGGGAGCGGCTGTAAATTCAGATGAAGCTTCGCTCACTCACCCACACTTTTCACCTCCTGTTGTGCGGTCCACGGCCCAGGGGTTAGGGACCCCTGTGGTAGAGGATATAAATCTCTGTGATTCAAATCTTTATTTTACTAATTTTAGACTCTTTCTGGTTCCCTCAGTAATCAGAGCTCAAAGTTGACATATGCATATTTTATATTTGTATGAGAACAATGGTTTTAACATTTTATAAACTCAACTTTTACTAAATAATTACAACAATTATGTCTGTCGAGAATAAAATAAAAATTAAGAAAAATTATGTTTAGTCCCTAATATGAAAAGTTACTATTTGCCAGATCTTGTTACTATAGACAGTCTAAATCATACTTATAAATCAATTACATTTAAGAAATTGTGGCTTGAATGAATCAAGTATGTTATATTTTAACACAAGTGATTGTCTATATTGGAAGCAGATTTCATTTTTCTTTATTTTGCCTTGGAGTATCCTTTCATTCAGTTTCATTTTATCCTACGTTGTGCTCTCACAGTCTTCATTGCTTTGGTAGATCTGTGTCTGCTTTTGTTGAGAGGACTTGTCGAAGAAGGATGAACAGTGAGTGTCAGTGTCAGAAGACACCAGGAATGTAGTGCAGTGTGGATTGATCTAAACTCAAGTTGGCCTAGCAGATTCTAATATAAACTGCACATTGTACTGTTTTAATAGTTTTCATTAAGGCTGAGTAAACACAATTTTAAATAATGATAATAATAAAAGTAGTTATCTTTTCTGTAAATTGGAAGGGGACTATAGAAAAGGGTGAAATGCTGACAGATGGTCAGCAGTAACTCTTGGACAAAGTAAATACGGGTGACTGAGGCCGCATGAGACAATCCTCGATGAATGGTCAGGACACTGTTGATGCCTATGCAGATACAACAGAGAGGCAGGAAATTTCAAAGGGTAGCCTCAGGTTTTCTTGAGTCAAGCATATTTAGACTTTATTTTTGTAACCTCTTTTGTTTCCATTAACTGCTCAGGGATAAAGAACAATCCTTGAGATTATAACAGAGACCTGAGATGTCTCCCGTTATATGTGCGCAGACCCACAGTGGGAGGAACTTCCTAGACCTGTGATTTAAATCAAATAGTTTTTATTAAAAACTTTCTCCAATAACTAATAACTTTCCCTAAAGTTCTTTTTCTTATCCATTATCAACGTTCCTAACTGCAGCCGCAGCTTAAGTTAAAACTAATATAAAACTTGCTTTGCTGATTGTTCCCCTCCTCTTTCTCTCTTATATTTGGGCAGCATGAACAAATTTTACAATTTTCAAAATATGTATTGATGGATCCTGGCAGCATTCACCTGAGGGATAAGAATAAGAACGTTTATGGAATAAAATAATTTAAGAAATTCAAGGCTGTGTGTAAATTTATGAAGCTATGTAATATTTTGCTTCATGAATCTACTTCTTTAAATATTGTCTGTGAAAATATAAAATAAGAGCAAGCTTTTATACCTATAGTGTTTTCCTTAAATAAACTATCATTTTGGAAGAATGTTTATTTTTAAATGTAGATGTCCTAAGGAAGGATTTATCTTAGTTCCAAAAATTAAGCATATTAAATTGCATGTAATGGGTAAGACATTGTGAACTAAATTCTGAGGTGAGCTGCCTCATGTTTTATGTGGAATACCTTTCACAGTAGTTTTCATGTTAATACCTGGCAAAATGTTTTTGTAATTTGAAAGCAATAAACATTATTTACAATTTATGATCAAGTTATTCATCTATGCACTCAGTGTATTTTTAGTGAGCTCTAGTTTGGTCCAAGCATTTTTGTTCTGCCTATGGGACAGGGCAAAGACAAAAATGAAATTAGAAAAACATGTAGTCTAGGCTGGGCAAGGTGGCCCACACATGTATTCCCAGCACTTTGGCAGGCCAAGGCAGGTGGATTGCTTGAGCCCAGGAGTCGAGACCAGCTGGGGCAATAAGGTGAAACCCCACCTACCTCTGCAAAAAACACAAAAAATTAGCCAGGTGTGGTGGCATGTGCCTGTAGTCCCAGCTACTCGGGAGGCTGAGAGATGGAAGGATCCCTTGAGCCCAGGAGGTCAAGGCTGCAGTGAGCGGAGATGGAGCCACTGTACTTCAACCTGATTGACAGAGGGAGACTGTCTCAAAAAAAAAAAAAAAAAAAGAAAAGAAAAAGAAAAAGGAAAATAGGTACTCCTGACAATTCATGTAGAGACAGACATATATGCCCCAACTATTTTTCTAATTCTACTGTGGTTTGTACATTAGAAGAATGAAAAACAGTGTACTATGAGGCCACAAAGAAGGAAGAAATTAATACTAACAAGGATAACTTGTAAAGACTTCAGGATGTAAGGGGAAATGATCTGAACGATAAAGATAGGTATAAGTTTATTGAACAGAGATGTAGGGAGGGAGGGTGAGAAGGCACTAGCCAGGAAGAGGGTACACCACAGGGACAGAGGCATAATCATACACAAGGAGTAGAGAGACTAGTAAGAAGTTCAGGATGACTGGAGGGTTTCGTAAGTATATTGTACATATGAAATGTACGTGTGGGATAGGTGGCTGAATGGTTAGATTGCTGAGAACGTTGCATGCCAAAATAAGGAATACTGATAAAATTAGTCCACAGTGGGTAGGCACTAAAATTGTTGGTCCATTTTGAAGTAATGTAACAGAGCCTCACATTTGCATAAATAAGAGGTTTATGAATATGGTATTATTGTCACAAAAATGAAGGACTAGTCCAATAACTCAAAAACAGTAAATGACAAAGTTGGTAGTAGAACCTAAATCTTGCCAGTACATCAGTTCAAGTCTAGCCCAGTTACACATAAATTGGAAAAGTTTTCTTAAATATCAGGCGTATTATTTTGGCTTGTATTTTTATCTTCCAAAGAAGGCTAAAAAAATATTCTCTGGAATAAATGTCAAAAAATCATTTTTATATGTATTGTTCCAGAGATATTCAATGAAGTATTAATTTCAAGTTTTTGCACATAATACTATAATAGAAATATTGAATAATACTGACAAGTATGTTATGACAAATAATAAAATCCATTTTAACTATTTTTAACAGATTCTCAATTATATAAAAAGAAAGGTCATGGAACTCAGTATCCAAACTAAATTACTGAAATTTTCTTTAAACGAACAGTGTGTATTTAGAACACGTTTTCTGTAAACATTGTACTCTAGGTCATTATCTTTCTATACAAGAAGGTAACTCCTGTCACAAATATTATACATTTTATGCATAAAAATATCTAAATATATGTTTTAGTTTTACATTTTATGTGAGAGTCAAAAACGTACTAAAGAAAGGCATCTTTTAAAATTTCTTAAGCATTTACATTTTTCTACAAGTCTACATTACACTTGAGTTAAAAAGAAGAATGAAAACCCCTCAAGTCAGAGTTTATGACTTTTTATGTCACACTGAAAAGTCAAGTGAACTACAGATTTGAACCATGGAGATTTGTGCCCTACTATGAAACGGTCAGTATTATGAAAACTGCCATTATACTTTATGATGCTATTTGACCTCTACATAGGTACTTTCATTATCTGACAATAATATTCAATTTGCAAAACTAGCCCCAGTCATTTAAAGCGCTCAGCATGCAGGAAAGCATTAGGCATTTTGTATTGGTTTTTATAGAGGGCCTTGTAGTGACCAGACCGGTACCTTCCATTTGTCTCTTTTAACAGTTGGGTTGCTGATCTCACAAATCATATTTCGGTTGGAAATGAAAGGTGCACGGCTGCCAGCATTTTGTTAGAAATAATGACACACTTTACTACCTGTAAGTGCTGACTGAGTGCTTCTGCCTTTTCTTCCCAAGGTGACTGTAACACAGATTGATGAAAGATTCTGCAGGACGACAAAGGTTAAAGATGCGGACCCGGAGCTAGAAGCCAGCGCTGACACTGATGGAGTGGACCGCGATGAGAATGCCCACATTATGGTCCTATCCTCTGATAACCGAGGTAATATGAAAACCGACTACAGAAGAAAGGAACAAATTAAATCCATTAATCAAGCATATCTCTGCTAAACAGTTGTGCGAAACTGATGAACAAATGAAAAATTTACTGTTTGTTTTCATGCTTGCAAGGATTGGGGAAGAAAATTAATTATAAGGTACCGGCCACACTATTAGTTAAGTTTTTCTTGAGGAAACTATTGCCTTGTCAAAGGACGAATGAACCTCATTAGGAAGATTAGTTTCAGCTGGTAGTTTTGCATTAGTACAAACTAATAATACACACTTCAAAAGATACCCTGAGTGAAATTGTGAAAATTGAAATCCATTTGTTACTTCTTAATTTACTGTTAGAAAATGACCACTCTATTACTTATCATGAAAGCAGAAGGAAATCAAACATTGCTCACCTTTCACCTAAGTGCCTGAAAGAAAACTGTTCCGGTGTGGGCTTTGTGAGTGCTGCGATGATGAACTTACGCATCCAGGAGTTATAACTTGGCCACGGCATTTTACTCTTACGTTGAAGCATGTCACGCGGAACTCCATGCCAAACGCAACTTTTGATAAGCTCCTTTGAAATCCTTTTCTTTTCAAAATGTTTTAAATGACCTGGACAAATAGCAAACTGACATCTGATATTCTGAAATTCCCCTTAAATCTATACAGTGCAAGAACAGAAAAGAGAAAACGCTACTTTGCTATCAATCCTGTATGGCCAGTGCACTGACGCTCCTTAGCTGGCCACAGTGAGTGCAGTCCGGTTTCAATGTTCATTTAATCCCTGGCCTTTCTGTCAAGGCTCGAAGAACAGGGGCAGTCACTGCTCTGGATGAGGGGGAAGGCTTGGCTACAGACACGAGTCTTCCAAACCTGGAGGGAGACCAGGCTCATTCCAAAGAGTGTGTAAATCAGCTGCGAAATAATAATGACTTTTTTGGGTTCTACTCCCCCGGCCTGGATTCAGACTGCTGACCCAGAAAAGAAAGGCTTCACACATCCCATCACCAGTCCTTTGAGCCATTGAAGACATCCCCATCCAATTCTGACTTCCTTTCCTTTACAGCAGTCTTGCTCTTTTTTATGGGCATGTAAACCAAATTGATGTTTACTTACTGATTTTGTTTGGTTCCTTGACCCAACTTCTCTCATTTAACAGAAGGTTTCCCGGCATAGTGTTTGAATGAATCAGGCCAAATGACATTAAAGTTCACTTCCTCAATGCTTAAGCTCTGTTACTGAGAAAAGATGGGGGTAGAGTTTTAAAGTATTCTTCTTAATGTAAAACGAAACGTTTTTCTCTAGACATGTTGTCTCTTTATATTTTTAAAAGCCAGCATTATTTTTTTTTTTCAGGAAAATTAGGTCAGTGTATAACAGTGATTCCACCATTTACCCTGTTGTCCTGGAGTGGGTAGGAGATTTCAGGACTAGCTAAGGGTTTTTTTTTTTTTCCAAAATAAGTGTCCACGTTGAACGAAAATTACAGGTTGTATGGGACTGAGAAGTTAGACAATATAAGGGCCCTTCTAGTGAAAAAAGTCCAAATTTGCAAATATTAAACAGATGTCTTCGTTTGAGTTTTCCAAAAGCAAATTCCAGGAGGAGAATATGAGCACGATTTGCTCATATGAGAAGTGATTCCAGAAGCACAACAAAATCATGAAGTGGTGACATGGAGAAGGAAGACAGCCAACAGAAGGGTCACACACAATAGGGAGTACCACTCTGAGCAACTGGGGCTCACTCTTGCTGTGGGGCCCTCTGAAAGGCATTTTAGACCACACCTCGGGATGCCAAGTCAAGAGACAAACGCTGGAGTGTATACCACTGAGGCTTGTTCCTGGGGGTCACAATTTCCCAGCATCTCCAGCCTTCTCTGTCTTTGCATATGTTCATGGGCGGTGTATATTCATGCAGCAAGAGAAAACCCTAAGGAAGGGAAACGCTTAGGTGGAAGCCATAGACATTTCCAAGAACCATCCAGCAAAGCCCCAGTTGAGCTCCAGTGTAAGTTTAGGGTAGAGAAGGATACTAGAAAGGTGTGACAGCTTCTCCACGAGATGTCAGATTGAATATTTAATTAAATAAATCACAACAAATCACAAATTTTAAAAGATGGCAAATATGGTCATTTCATACTCACCAACATGAAGGTCAGTATGACAAAGGAGAAGTCAGGAGAGGTGTGATAACAGGCCCCACTGACTGCTGCCAAGAATCTTATTGTTGCAATAGTAAAATAAAAATAATAATAATACCATATGAACACACTGCTACAGTCTTTCTCAGTGTCTCAAAAGAGATCTGTGTGAGAGCTCCTCAAACGTGGGCTTAAAAAACTTCTTGGTAAATTTCCCATGGCTGCTATTACTGAGTTTCTCTAATATCCCATGTATGTGTCACCTTGAAATTAAGTTGAACATCATTTTTCAAAGCATTTCTGAACAACAAGAATAACAAAAATAAAAATTGGAAAAATTACGCAAAATATTTATTTTAGTATATGCATATATTTATGATAATTGATAAGCCACAATTTTTTACAGCCTGATTTATTATCCCAGGCAGTACTGACATTTTCAACTAAAAAAGTCCTTTGGTCGGAAACAGGGGGGCTGTCCTGTGCATTTAAGATGTTTACAAATATTAAACAGATGTCTTAGTTTGAATTTTTCAAAAGGAAACTCCAGGAGGAGAATATGGGCATAATTTGCTTATATGAGAAGTGATTCTGGAAGCACAACAAAGCCATGAAGTGGTGACATGGAGAAGGAAGACAGCCAATAGAAGGGTCATACACAATAGGGAATACTATTTTGAGCAAAGCATCTCTGGCCTCTATGCACTAGATACACGTACCAGTACTGCTGGATACACATCTTCCCCAGTTTAAAAAAATAGAAGAAAGTTTCTAAACATTGACAAATGTAAAAAACAACAACAACAAAAATATCTCCTGTTAGAACCACGATTTAGAAGATAGAAAAAGTTGCAAACTAGAGATCTGGCAAACAAAAACAATTCTGAGATCTTTTTACGTTCAGTTTATCTGCTTATACACCTTATATCTCCCTCTATGCTACTTATGGATTTAGAAAAATTCTCTAGTTCAGTCTTTTTGAATATTGAAATAAGAATATTATTGTGTAAATGAGAAAATGTTCTTAATGAATAAACCATAAAATATTTGTAAGGATATCAAGAAATGAAGATACTTTAAGAAGCTACCTATCATCCCACATTAATCGACATTCCAGAAAACAAAGAATATCTCCTATATTTAAACAATTTTAAAAAAGAAGCCAGCTATCCTACTGATTATTTAACATTTTAAGTAAAAATGGTAGGCTTAGTGTAATGTTTAATATCTCTGTGGTACAATATAAGATTGTTACGATATGTGGCATGTATATAAAAAGTATTTAATATAACATATTGACTAATAAAAATAGTCTTCTTATCTTCTGCAAAACCATAAGTGTATGGAAAAAAATTACATTAAGCTTAACTAACATTTAAAAAAACAACTACAGTGGAAGGATCACCTGAGCCCAGGAGGCAGAGCTTGCAGTGAGCCAAGACCATACCACTGCACTCCAGCCTGGGCGACAAAGTGAGACCCTGTCCCCTCTAAAAAACAAAAGAGAATAAAAAATGTAACTACCATATTCTATAAAACTTTCCCAAGCTCTTAAAAGTAAGCACGTTTACACTTTTTGCCCTCAAGAATAAACAATCAAGTAAAGGAAGAAATACAGATTTGTGGATTGTAGCAACATAATTAAACTTTACAGTGCCAAATAATGCTATTTCTTGCTAACAGTATTCTGCCATAAGGGATCCTTGGAGATGTTAAGAGGTGACAGGAAAAAGTTAAATAATTTAAGGCAATGGAAAGCATATTCTCTTCTCAGAGACATACACATTGTTATATAAAAGGCTCTGGAAGGTTTGTCAGAAGAAATGTATATTAAAGTTTTCCTAACCCAACATTTTACAAGTAATTTGAGCAGAGAACAGTTCTCTCACAACAAGATCAAGATTTGTTGGGTCATCAGATCAGAAATAAATGTATTAAAGAATTTAATTTCCACTGAAAGATGAGAATACGCATAAAGAGAGAAATTCAAATTTTAAGTGGACATTATAAAATGGGGAACATTTTTCCACAGAGGAATGTGGATGGAAACCACCAAAGGTATAAGAAATACCAAGATTAGAAAATGCTGGTCAGGCTGGGCACTGTGGTTCATTCCTGTAATCCCAACACTTGGAGGTCAAGGAGGGAAGATCGCTTGGGGCCAGAAGTTCAGGATCATCCTGGAAAACGTACCAAGACTTCACCTCTACCAGAAATTTACAAATTAGCTGGTCACAGTAGCATGTACCTGTAGACCTAGCTACTTAGGATACTGAGGTGGAGGAATCACTTGAGCCCAGCAGTTCAAGGAGACAGTGAGCTTTGATCAGGCCACTTGATTCTAGCCTGGGCAACAGGGTAAGACCTTGTCTTTAAAAAAAATAAAAAGTAAAAAATAAAATGCTAGTTATATTACGAAACAGCCTGACTGAGGTCTAAATGCCTGCAGAATGCTGTTTCAGCAAAAGTAACGTCCCAGCAATGCAAAGCAAGTGCTCGTCTATGCCACAACTTGCTTGAATTTTAAAGAAGGATGTTGATAAAATGTATATTTATTAAGGAGATAATTGACGTAGTGTGCTCAGTACAAGTTTTGGCATATTACAAGCATTCAATAAACCCTATATCTTATTATAATTAAAATATTAATACATATTGTCTAAACATCACTACTTTTTTTTCCTGGATAATAGGGCTATAAATACCTGGAAATCCTCACAAAGGTATTACAAATCTCAGGTGATCTGCTCTATGTGAAAGTGCTGGTAAGTGGAAAGTGCTACCTAAGTGCAAAATCTTATATTTTATTAAAGTGCTACTAAAGTGAAAAATACTATGTTTTATTAGAGTAGTTTGTATTTCTGTCTAGAGCTGCTCCATGGGTCAAACTGTTTTCCTCTTCTACCCTGTATTGTCGGGCATGGAAATTAGATTTTCAGCTGTAGGTTTTACTGAAACGTCATTTATTGGAAGGGTGTCAAGGTAACTCAGATTTGAAGGAAATCTTGAAGGAACCAGGGCTCTTCTGGGAGCCTCACTGAGTATAAACCAGGGCTTTCCCTGGCAAAGACTCTTACCATCTTTTTCCATCTCATCTCTGCTTCTTAAAGTGGGTCACCTTCATTCATTCGGATTTTTCCTTAGAGGCATGGAAACTGGTGTCTCTGAGACTACGTTGTCCTAACTCCAGGACCTGAGAGAGGGGATTTCCCTGTGAACTGAGCTTGTAAAACTCTAGGTGAAAGAATTTGACTGTGTCTTTATCACTTTTCTATTCTTGTACTGATTCATCCATTCAATAATATTGTATAAAATTATTGGTCACTAACAATTTCCAGGTCACTTTTTCAGCCTAGCTAGATAGAAGTGAGCAAGGATAAGTCTCTTTCTTTGTCTATTTTAAATTATAATGTGTGAAGTAGAGAACCAGAAAGGAGAAAAGTTAAGTGGAAGTACAGTGAGGAACTTAATACAAAATACCGTGACGTGAAGAGACGGAGCTGAAAGCAGGATGCTTTTAGACAGCCGGAAGAACAGAAGCACGATGATGGGCAACGCCAGGCCAGTCAGGATTTTCTGAAAAAGGATGAATCCGAAATATAAAGTTGTAGTGAAGAAGCAGCAGTTCCCTCAAAGGAAAGGGGGTGGCTATTTCCCAATTGGTATTCCCTAAGGACATGATATTGAGATTTATGGTGTGTCTCTGTGTCCCCACTCAATCTTATGTCACATTTTAATCCTTATGTATCAGGGGAGGGAACTGGTGAGGGTGACTGGATCGTATTGGTGGATTTCCCCCTTGCTGTTCTTGTGATAGTGAGCGAGTTCTCACAAGATTTGATGGCTTAAAACTGTGTGGCACTTCCCCCTTCTTTCTCTCTCTCCTGCTCTGCCATGGGAAGATGTGCTTGTTTCCCCTACACTTTCTGCCATGACTAAGTTTCCTGAGGCCTCTCAGTCATGCTCCCTGTTAAGCCTGCAGAACTGTGACTCAGTTAAGCTTCTTTTCTTCATAAATTAGCCAGTTTCAGGTAGTTCTTCATAGCAGCATGAGAATGGAATAATACATTGAGTAAACACAACATAGATGTCTATTACATCCTCTCCTTCTTTTTTTTTTTTTTTCTTTTTTTTAACTACCTTAGTTGTAAAATTACATGAAAGCAGGTTGGGCATGGTGGCTTATGCCTGTAGTCCCAGCATTTAGGGAGGCCAAGGCAGGTGGATCACTTCAGGTCAGGAGTTCAAGACTAGCCTGGTCAACATGGTGAAACCTCATCTCTACTAAACAATACAAAAATTAGCTGGGCATGGTGGCACACACATGTAGTCCCAGCTACTAAGGAGACTGAAGCAGGAGAATCACCTGAACCCAGGAGGTGGAGGTTGCAGTGAGCTGAGATTACGCTATTGCACTCCAGCCTGGGTGACAGAGTGTAACTCTGTCTCAAAAAATAAAATAATAAAATAAAATAAAATGATATGAATTCAAGTTTTGGACAATAAGTGATTTAAAAAATCACTTTATAGATGGCCTCTTAGCCAACATAACTAGAGATTGCATCTACAGACAATGTTGCTTAAACATTTGGTAATTTAGTAGTTTATAGAACAATTCCAACACTTCAAATGTTTTATTCAGGAAGTAATAAAATTGTTAGACAATAATCCTGAAAAGTCACTGGAAGTTGTGGAAAGAAGTACATTCTCTAAAAATGTATGACAAAATAATATATCATGTATTTGTTGGAATATAATGCATAACTAAAAATGTGAAACTAAGCCTTGTGACAATGATGGAAAGAGTAAAATATTAATATAATGACCAACCCATATTCAAATTTAGCCAATAATATTACTAGTTACTTTGTACAACACTTTTGAGGTTGGCAGTAAACTAATTTTATATTTAACGTTTAGGTCTGTAAATGTTTTATCTTTCTACTCCAAAAGTTTGAAGATGGCAGAAAAAGTACAAAGAGAAATAATCATTTCCTCCTCTGTGCTGCCTCTGATCTTTGTGCAATCTTATTAAATTACTTTTTATATAATTTTTTGTTTTAATATATTTCATACACATTATTTCAATGTGTTTGTATTTGTTTACAGTTCTGTCTCTCCTACTGGCCTGGATGTTCAATAGAACTGGTACTATTTATATTCCGTTTTTTATCTCTAATGCTGAGTTTAGTCATGCTTGACACATCATCACTGGTTAATTAATATTTATTAAATAAATAAATGAGCCCATAACACTGAAGGGCTTTGGAAAAGTTATATTTTTCTCTTTACCAGTTGGGGACGACTGGAATAAAATTGAATGATGTGAACAGGAATGAGGTAATTGATTTACATTATTCAAAATCTATTGCAGAAAAGCGATAACCAAAAAGCAAATGGAGTTCCTTTTCCAATCTTAAGTAGGAAAT